TCAAATATTTGAATACTTGATTTGAATTTGATTGAATCAAAACAAATATTAATTTGAATTTGATCAAATAAATCATTTTTTGATTTGAATTGGATTGAATCAAATCAAATATAAATTTGAATTTGTATTTGATTTGATTTTCAGATCAAATATTCAAATATCAAATTGAATTGCAAAACCCTACTGATTATATTATTTGTCTATATATGTGATATTTTGTATCCTTTATTTAGAGCATCTACTTCATATAAAAGAGGATCAAGATAAATGCATCATAGTAAAGGTGAAATAACTTCTCCTTGATCAATCCAATTTTGATATCATAATAATCAGTAAAACCATTAGCTGTAAAAATTGCAGTTTTTCTATTAGTGAAGAAGTTGATAATTAGATCTACATATTTAACAGTAATTTTAACACGTTGTAAGGCAAGATAGAGAAATTTAAGGTCTATATGATCGTATGTCTTAGAAAGATCTTGCAATAGAATCTAAAGCTCTTTTTTGTTTTCATTAGTATCTTATAATAACATATTTAGAATTTTGATCAGTTTTTCTGTTGAACCTCCAGATAAACCAGCAAAGTTGTTATCTTTCAAGACATGATGTTTAGCGAGAATTTTGAGAGTCGATTTGTAACAACTTTAATAAATGCTTTTTGTAATATTTCTAATAATATGATCGAATGGGTTTTGTAATATCACATTCCCAATCCATTGGTTTGGAAATTGTGTATACATGTGTAATTTTCCATTTACTAAGAGTGTTACTAATATTGAAGTACATGCAAATTAATTGCTATACTAAATGTTTGAACTTTTCTCCTAAGTGTTGAAACATTTCATTATGGATGCTTGAAGGTCTGGCAGCTTTATCTTTTGCTAAGTGTAAGAGAACTGAGCATCATTCATTATACATTAGAGGTTGCATAAGATTATCATATATATTCTCAGATACATAATCCTTTGGTTGATATTGTGAGAGCCATCTACCATCCAGAGATCTTGGGAGTATCAATGGTAATGCATTATTCTGGAAGTGATTGATAGCAACTTTTTTAATTTTATCAGAATCAAGGATAAAATGTTTAGAATTATCATCATTATTGACAAAGACTTGATTCAAAGTAATTTTTCTCTTTTTTGTTTGTAAAATAGAGTCTATAATTTTGCCAGGTTGAGATTCAAGTTGATTGCACCTTTTTCTAATGAGTGATTTGATTTGTGCATCAGTATTTTTCTTGACATCCATTTTGGTAAACTTATACAAGACTTTATAAATGCAGTTGAGTGTTTTTTTAACATCTCTGACATTTGATAAATTTAAAAATTGATGCAAAGGATCTAAAGGATATGAAATGTCTTTGACAATAGTTACAATAATATTGAGATCGTATTTCCATTCATTACCAATAGGTTAAAGTCGTTCACTTAGCTTTTAAATGAAATTTTGACAGAATTTTTTTAATCTTAGTGAGTGAGAGATAGTATTGAGAAAGATCTTTTGGTTTGATACACGGTCTTGTATAGAGATCCATTTATGAGGAATTTTAGAATTACTAATATCCAAAACAGCTTTTTTCAAATCCATCTAGAAATTATTTATATTTGCATAATTGGATGGGAGATCGTTTAAGCAATCAAAATTATGGTTATTATAATAGGTATTGGAATAATTAGCAAAACTTATCCATTTTGAAGAGTTCATAGATTTGAAAAGAGGAACTTTTCTTTTAGTATTATTCATCCTCAAACGAAAATGAGATTTATGTTAAATATTAGAAAAATAAGCAATAATAATCTTGTGATCTAATTTGTACAAGTACGAATATATTATATTACAATATAGAAAGTCAGAAATAAGATTCTGAGAAGCAAAGATTGCATTAATATGACTGGAAGTATTTAATTTTTTGAAAGTTAGTAGGAGTGTATCATAACAAATGTCATATAAGTCTAAAAAGTTTCTAAGTACAAGAACGTGTACAAGATCATATTTCTAAGTAATGGTTTTACCAGAATAAATAAGATATTGTAATTTATTAGATCTATATTAAAATCAGCTATAATAATAATGTGAAAATTAGACTGAAAGCTATTATCTATAAGTCAAAGTAATATTGTTTGTAGAACTTTCCTTTTTTTAGATTCAGTAGTATGAATATAAACTGAGAAAACTCTTAGTTTTATATTTCCTTTTAAATAAAGGTCAATGTAAATATAATGATCATTATCCAAGAATTTTTTAGCAATATGCTTTGACCAGGATTTGCTGATAAGTAAACTAGCACCTAAAAACTTATTAGAGACAGAACTTCACAAAGTATCAAAATAAGGATCAAAAGAATATCTAAAAGATTATGAAGATTGATGTCAAATTTCAGATAAAGCAACAAAATTAACGTTCTTTTGGTAAAAGGTATCTAGTATCTTACTATTTTTAACATCATTATGAAGAGAATGAATATTATGAGTAGCAAAGGTGAGGGTGTTTCTATTTAAAATTAAATTTCTATCATCACTATGTGAATTTCTAAGTTATTGTCTATAATAAGCGTAAGTTGATCACGTGATAAAAGTAAATTATGAGAAAGGGAAGCATTATTATTTGTTAGTGGAGAATGATTATTATTATTAATTATATATGTGGGGAAAATATTAGGTAATAGAATATTTTTCGTTGTATTAATCATTTATGGATGTATAATATAGAATATATCTAAAAGTAAGATGGGTTTGCATCAAATGCAAACTGTTCAATCTGTTTGAACATTAAATCTATTTGCCTTTTTTGTTCAATTATAATAGCAGCTTATTTATTAACCATATTAATTAGATCCGTTTTGGAGTCACAATTTATGAGGTTAAAGACTTATCACTTGATGATCCAGCAATACAAGATCTTTTGTTGGATGTATCTTGTGATCTTAAAATTAAAAGAAAGATAGGTGTAATAATGATAGAATCTTTTTCTTTATTAATAATAGGTGATGGGATCTTGGGATTTTAATATGAGAAGAGGCTTGAAAAGTCTCTAACTTGGCAATTCTAGCATCAAGATCATTCATATCTTTTTTCATATTGAAGAGAATGGAAAGAATTTGATCTAGTTTATTATTAATATCATTATTAAGGTTATGAATAAAATCTTTTACAGTCGTATCTTTTGGTGGTGAAAGTGAAGGAATCTTTTTATTTTTAATGCCTTCAGAATAAGATTTTGAAGAACGATTAGATCTATTGGAATTCACAAATTTTCTAAAACCAGCAGGTTTAAATTTGTTGTAGAGTCTTTGTATTGAATTATTTTGAGTGAGTGTCCTTGGTTTAATAGGTTCTTCATTTTCATTTAGTAGAATTGATTTTTGTAAAAAAAGGGCATTTTATAATAAGATGAGCTGGATCATCACATTTGTGATAGCTTTTAGCATCAGGAGAATATCACATCAGTTGATTATTATTAAAAGTAAAGTTTTGTCAAGTTGCTTGATTGAGAGCTTCCTCATTTTCAAAATATAAAATAATAAAGAAACGAGATTTATAGTTGTTGGATTTTGAAATATAACTAGCTCTGGCTTTAGTTGCAAGAATTATATCATGAAGGTCTCTTGCAGAGATACCAAAAGGAAGATTTGTTAATTTGATGTGATATGTATTCCTATATTTAATTTTTTCTAAAGACAAAGTGCAAGGATTGACATGAACAGAATCATTCTGGATAAATCGACTCTACACTTGATTAAATAGCTCAATATATTTAGAGTTTTTGTAAGTAATATAGGCATGTTGCTATATACCTCTTACTGTCATTTTAAAATCAGTAACAGTTCCATATTTGGTAAAAACTTATTTGATATTGGCAGGTTCCATTTGTAGTGAAATGTCAGTAATATAAATAGTCCTTTCGTTAAATTGCATATCAGCTTTGTATTGAGAGAAATCACAGAATGTTTTGATCTTAAGATCAGGAATGGTTACATGTAAAACTGTGGCAGCTGCATCTGACATTAAAAAGTAGACAATTACCAAATGCGTCAAATTAACGTGATAAATTGAGACTTCTCTAAATTTATCATTTTAAGCAAAACATTATTGATGGCAAGAATAATTTTACTGTTGTTCTTTTCTTTGAGGGTAAACTTGATATTACTAGCAACTGCAAAGGGAGTAGCTTTTGTAACTAATGTACAAATCAGGATTTAACATATACTGATTAATTATCTGATATAAAAAATAATTTCAGATTTTTTTTAAAAAAACCTTAAAATTATCCAGCATATATTTAAATTTTTTGGATTTTATATAAATTTATTAAAATATATAAATTTTTAATATTTAATATTTAAATCTTTATTTAATAATATATAATGAAAAACTAATAATAAAACTAATTTTTAAACTCTTCTATTACGCATTTTTAACCAAATTATAAGTGATTGATTAAAATCAAAATCTTCTATTTGTATATCATCTAAACTAACTAATAATAATAAATGAAGAGTATTATTACTAAGCCTATTACGAAGATCTGTTTTAATGATATTTTGTTTAGAAAATTCACATTCACATTCTACACTAGAAAATGGAATACTATAAACAATTTCTATAAGTTTCATTATATTAGGATACATAGTTGAATAATTTTCAAATAAATGAGGAAAAAACTCTTCAATATTAAAATTTTGGTAATTTCAATAAATAATTTCCTTAAAAAGATACCATTCATTTTTTATGTTTTCAGAATCAATTATTGGAATAGGATAATTTGACGAATAAGATTTTCCATAAAATCTAATCAATTCTTCTAATTTTGTATTTCCAAATTTTATCAACTCCCCTTTATTTCTTGACCATTCTTTTGGATTAAATATTTGCATTGCATTTAATAATGAACGATCTGAAAAATTTTTTTGAATTTCCAAAATAATTAAAGAAACAAATCTAAAAATATCTGTCATTAATTCACTTTCATAATTTTCAGTTAATATTAATTGATGTGTACTTATAAATGATGGAGAGGTTGTGGAATTTGTTGAATAAATTGTTTTAAATTAAATTCTAAATTTAAATTTCCCTCATCATTTTGCTCCAAGTATTCATATTGTATTTTTTGAATTGTTGCATTAATTGTTGCATCTATATCAAAAAATCAAATATATCTTTCTTGAAATATTTTACTAAGTTTAGCAATATATCCCAAAATATTATATAAAAAGTGAAAAAATGCTAAAAGTTTCCAATTACATAACTCATCATAAAGTGTTATAATTAAATCTCTCTTTTGTGTATTTGTAATTTCTGCAGCAGTTGAAATTAATATATCTAACAATAGGTCAAGAATTATACGTAAATTCTTTATAGCCTCAAAAGATGAAAGTCATCAGATATCAAAAATTTTATGAATCTTGATTTCTGGCTTATTTAAAAATTTCTGATAACCATGCAGTATATCTATTCTTTTACTTGATTTGCTAAAAAACTTATAACATCTTTTCATTATTTGTTTAGCTTTTTTACAAAAATCAACTTGTTTATAAGCACTTTCAAATGCTAATGATAATCTATGTGCAATACAATAAGTAATGAAAATATATGGATTGTTTTTTGCAATCCTAATAGCTACACCATTATTTTCTCCTATCATTATACTTATACCATTTGATGCAAATGACATTATTTTATTAGTCAAATCTAAATTTTTATATAATATTTATATTAGTATTATAAATATATAAAATAAAATTTAAATCCAATAAATTAACTTACGTTTTTATCAAACAATGCAATTATTGCATTATAAATTATTTGTGCATCAGCACTTTCTAATTGTAATAATTTTAAATATTGAACCTTTATCACCCTATGTAAACAGTATTTGATATATAATATAACATGTGATTCAATTGCAATATCGATACTTTCATCTAACATTATTCCAAAAGCTGAACAAGTTTCTAAATCTCACCAAATTTTGTTTTCAATTGTTTGAGCAAGAGCATCTAATATTTTAAGACTAGTAGCATGATTATCATACATTAAACTATTATCATTACTAGGTTTAATATATGGCATTCCAATAAATCGTGAAAAATTGATAAAATTTTTAAGTTTATGTAAAGGAACATTTTCAGATGCTAACCAAAAAATCAGTTTCATTACTTGAATGATATATTGATGAGCTTTATTAATAGCATTATTTGTAATAGTTTTATTACCCTTTTTTGCTTTTCTAATCAAAAAGCTTTTTCATGTTACTTAGTACTAGTATATTTGAATAGTACACTAATTTTAAAATTTTTTGATCCTATACATTAGATGAAAATAATCAGATAAATAAATTTAATATATGTAAGAAAATACATATATAATCAAAATTTAAAATACCTTTTGTTACTTTAGCAAATTCATTTTTTTGACTATGAGTCAAACATAACGTACAGAACATTCTATTCTTATTTATATCATAAAGTATCTAAGAATATTGATTCTTCCAAGAAGCATGATATGTATTTTGTATTTTTCTTTGAAACCTAACTTTTTTTTTTAGAATTACTAATATTATGAGGTGAAATAGAAGCTTTAGCTTTTCATCTGTTATTTTTAGGTGAAGAAACTACATATTTTTCAATACCTTCATTACTGGAATTATTTGCTTCGGTTGAACTTTATTCTAAATTATTATCGAAGATATCGCTAAAGAATATAAAATAAAGTTAAATTAATTGAAATAAAAGTAAATTAGTTATATATTTAAATTTAAAACTAGATACTTACTATTCAATTCCAGAACTTTCATCTTTGTCGAAAGAAACCAACTGTACTCCATCAGTCATCTTAAAAAAATTTAATAAAGACATTATATATGAGAAAAATTTCTGATTATCAAGTTATACAAATTATGAATATGTTACATATAATCTGGCCTATAAAAAAAATTCCAGCCAATAACAATCTGGACAATTTTAAATTTTCTGATTTCGGATAAATATCCGGTTCTATAACAAAATTTTCAGATTTTGAAATAAAAATCTGGTAAATCCAGAATTCTTATGTACTAATTTGCACTCTGTTTGTAATAATTATGAAATCTTTTAAGTCTTCTTTTATATCATCATCTTTAAGATATTCATCAGAGTCCAAAAGTTTTGACTTATCTTTAGATGAAGAAGAGTTTTCAAGATATTATCAACTTTTATGTTATTATTATTGTTGTTATTCGAAGGCAAAATAATTGGTGAAATTTTGTTAATAGTGTTAATTTTAGATATATTAAAAACTTCAAAATCCATTTTTTTATTTAGTAGTAAGCTAAAAATTTCTTAAATAATTTCTAAATCAAGGTTTATAGGAATAGAAGTTGAGATTGAAGAAGACAAAGAAGCTGGTATAAAACTAATAGCTTCTTTTGGAATTTTTGGAGTGACATATAGAATAAACTTGAAGTCACTATTTTTTTGTTTCGTAGCGTTTTTACACATCATTACTCTCTCGTGTAATGAAAAAGGTAGGATAAAACAAAAGAAACCTTTTTTGTACTGATTTATTAATTAATTTTTGTTAAAAACGAAATTTTAAATTTTTTATTTTTTTATAAAAATTTTGGTTTTGTAAAATAGGAGAGAAAGTTTTTTTATTTTGTAAAGCTATCGCATGTTAAAAATAAAAAAAAATTTATTTTACATTAAAAAATAAAATAAATTTCATTTTTTTATAATGAAATATTTTAAACTTATATATTTTTTTTAAGGTTTGTGACTAAAAGTTATTAAAAATATTATTTTAAAAGAGTTTTATTACAGCTAAAAATAATAATTATTAAGAAAGACTAATAAATAATAATTTTAAAGCAAAAATAATTATTATAAATATTCATAATATAATTAATACTCAGAACTTTTGAATAAACTAAGCTAATAATAAGTATAAAATATATATTTCAAATGATTTTATACAGAATTTTAATTAAATTTTTTTGATAATTAAATTAATTATTAAGAAAAGCAATTTAAAAGATAAATAATATATCATACTATTTTTTTAATATTATTGTTTGTTTTTATATAAAGATTATATCAAAGAAAACTTAACCGTCAGATAATTAGAAAGAATATACTTATTATTATATTAAAATACTTTGTATTATATATATAGTTGTATTATTAAATACTTTACAAAATGTAAATTTTATTCATAAAATATAAAATGGTCATATAATTTTAAATATATAAAATAAATAAATATTTATTTTTTAATTTTTATTATTAATAAAAATTTACTATTTTAATATAAAATGATATCATACCCATTATTTCAATTTTTTAATGTATTATAGTATTGATATTGAAACTATATAGTATTAATATCATTTTAATGTCATATCAGTATTATAAAGATATCAAATCATATTGTGTATATATTATTTTAATATCATATTGACATTTTTTTGATATTAATATCTATATTATATCAATATCATTTCAATATTAATATTAATATAATATCAATATAAATATAATATTGAATTGATTTCATAACTTTATTATATAAATATTATATCTATATCATATTAATACTATTTTGATACTAATATTAATATTGTATCGATATTGTATCTGTATTGAAATAATATAGTAAAGATAAACTTAACAACCTCAATTCGATTATCGTCAAAGTATGGTAAAGTTATCATAATGATATAAATTCAATACTGAATCAATATCATTAGAATTTTTTTAGTTTCTATAAAGTCATGACTGATTATTATTTTTACATATTCATCTATATTTTTTTTCACATAAGGAAATATATATCAGATGATAAAAATTTTTCTTAGCAAAATGATTAATGTAAATGATTATTCATGTAACACATAATTTATTTTTTTGCAAAAACTATTAATAAGTTAATAATTAATCAGAATAACTTACATATTTTCAGAATTAATGCAATAAATAATATTATATAATTTTGTGATAATGACATAATATTAATATAGTATTGTTTTAGATTTAATAGTAAAATATACTATTTGACATGGTAATGACATGATAATTCTTTTAGATTATTTTTATTTAAGCAGAATTTTGCTGATGGCTATTAGAAAAAATATATGATTTATTTTTTGCAAATTCTTTGAATCTTCAAATATTCAAAATTTAGTTTTTTTCTACCATTTATAAAATAATTAATATACTAACATCATTTTCATGTATATTACTTGAAATAACTTAACCAATTTTCTTAATCTATCAAAATAGATATATGGTGATATTTTATATCCTGAAAATATCTATTATTGCTAGAATAGGTAAGTAATAGCTATCCTAAAGTAGAAGATTTGCTAAATCAAGCAGTCAAAATTATATTAAAAAAAAAAGCAATAGTAGATAAAATCTATTATTACCAAATATAAAATTTGTTAAATCAAAAGAATGAGAAGTTATGTATATTGAAGCAAAAAATAAAAAAAGTTTGAAAATCTTAGTGATTTACAAGATTAAAATAAATCTTGTGAGCAAGTTATAGCCAAGTCTTTAAAGAAATTAGTGCAAAAATTACTCAATTAAGCTCTTCATTTACCTTTTTCAAAACATAATTCATAATAATAAAAAGGTTATTATATTAGCTAAAAAGTCTATTAATATATTAGAAAATAAATACCAGTATCTAGAGAATATTATTTCTGTTAATAATAGAAAAATTATTATTTTTATTAATCAGATCACTTTCTACACAAGATATAACTATAGAACTGAAAATATATTCTAGTATTTATGAAAAAAATTATAAGCGAAGAGGTATAGTGAATTTGAATATGACTTAGAAGCTCAGAAAAAATATACATTTTGTCTCACTCAATAACTTTGAGAGAATGCTAAGTTGAAAGAAATTCTATTTACTAATAAATATCGTATTATAGTCTTTTTGTATTCTATGTGAGTAATTCTAAAGTACTGTTAAATTGAAGACAATGAAATTTTGATCACACAAATATTTATCAATATCTTTATATATATTGCACCAATCATTAGCATATAGGTAAGAATATGAGCTAATTCATCTGAAGTAAATCCATTGAAAAGTACAACATAATTTAAGATTTTCTTATCAGTTTTAGACAGTCAAAAAAACTCTGAAAAATGTAATATTATTGTGATATCCTTTAGTAAAATAAGGAATAATTTTTTTCTGAACATTTTTTGAATCAGCATACAGATCTTTGAATATAACTAACTATTGTACTCCTTTCTGAAAAGAATGAATCCAACTTTGGAATTTTTTCAGATTTTATAAGCTGAAATGTGATGTCTTCACAATACAGTATTGGGCTATTTGCAATTATCTGATTATAATTGCATAATTATAAATTAATAATCAAAAATACAAAATCTACTTGCATTAGTTTTCTCCTGTTCTTTGATTTTCCCATGAACAATTACTGGTTGATGTGCCAACCTTATGGGTCTTCTTGCATCGGATTACCTCTAATGCTTTAAAATTAATTATAAACATAATATTTTATGTAAATGTTGTAAATTTATTGTAGATATGTATTAATTAAAAAAAATATTATTAAGAATATCTTTAAAATGTTATGAACTTGATTTGTTTATCGACTTCAACATTTGGCAGTAGTCAATTTATTTATTTTTTTTTATTTTTTTGTGCAAATAAATTTATTATATACAGTATATATTATATTATATACACAACTTATTAAGAAAGATAATTACTTAGAGAAATCGTAGAATATACATATTGTAAGTTTAAAAAATCGTTAGTCCAATTAGTCCTTTTTATTTAACAAAAAAAAAAATACATATAAATGAATAATGAATAAGGATACTTATAACGAATATAATTTATCAATAGTGAGAAAGAATTTAAAATTTGCATTTTTATTTTTGATTAATTTTTTTTTTTAGAAAAAAAAAAAAGAAGACTTATAAATGAATAGGGTATTTATAACGTTATACAGTATAATATAGATAAAAAAATTTTGATTTTGATTTTGATTTTTTTTTTTTTTTCCTCGATTTATAAAATATTATGTAATATATCATTACAAATCTTATTATTATAATAATAATATAATACAATAGGATATAAAATAATGAAATCAAAAAAAATAGTTAAACTAACTAAGCCCAGGCACCTATTATTATATAATAATGAAAAAATTTAGAAATATTTCATATATAGGGAAAGTTCAACCGAAGTTCTAAAACCCGGCCCTAAGACTAAACTGATATTGTACCAGGAAACTTGGTACTTGACTAAAACTGGACCGATTTTAACAATAATTACTTACCGATCAAGGACATCATTCCAGCACCTAAAATGAAGATGATGAATGCTGAACATTGATGAGCGATAGATTTCTTATGAAATTTTGGATCATTAATAAAATCGTTGGCAAGTAATTCAACTAAAGCAGCGTAAAGTAAGATCCCAGCAGAGACAGAATCAAGAACGCCTTGAATAATAAGTGCTGTAATTGAGTCGGGGTTATACGTATCATGTATACCTAAGCCGATGGCGATCCCGAGAGGGGTTGTCGAGCCATAAGCAAAAGACATGAGCCAAGGTTTGAGGCTACCTTGTGGATATTCAAGTTCGGCAATTCTGGACCCAAGACCAAGTCCTTCGAACATCTTTAAAAATCACGTGATAAACATAAAATTCAAATATTTATAATTGACAATCTACGTTGTAATACCTGATGAAAGACTAGGGCGATAAGAAGAGAAATAAAGTCCGATCCGGTTGTAACAGACAAAGCGATTCCGATGATAATTGAATGAAGGCAAATACCAGCTTCTAAAATAATGATTCCAATCGTTTGAGTTTCGTTGGTTAGCAAAACTAAAGTTCCATGATTATGAATCGAAGAACTATCATCTTTAGAAGTTTCCAAAATAGGATCATTTTTATATATTGGTAAATTGTCTTTATTGTTAATTCCCTTCTCAGTAACTTTTATAGCGACGTATTCAATAAAGAAGATGGTTAATGCCGCTACCATTGAAATAGCTCCAGCCCATGGATAATTATGCCAGATTTCAGGCAAACATTCATTAGATAACATATCAAAAGCTGATGGTATCATCTGAAAAAAAGTTTTCGCCACATTTTAATTTGTTTGGGAACCTATTTCAATTTTCTTTTAAAAAAAAATTTCTTACATGAATAAAAGCCGTAGCAAGTATAACCCCTGTTCCAAAATTTTTGCAAACTTTTAAAAAAGAAAATCATATTCAATACTTTTGAAATAATTTGATTTTTCAATGAAAACCTCAATAAAGATATTTTTTAACATACAAAAAAAGACAGAGCCAGGAATTATGAGGTTTGGACATTTCTTTGAGATGAGAGGAACGAAAGCTCCTATTAAAGAGTTTTTTTTTTTTTTTTGTTTTTTTAAAAAAAAAAATTTAGACAAACTAAATGATATAACCATGAAAATAAAAGGTCCCTACCGAACGAGCTCGTAACAAAAATAATAAACAAGGCACCAATGTGGAGTCCAAGATTGTAAGTGCTTTCATCGAATTCCTTCTTTGCACACGCGCCTTCATCTCCGACGTGTTCGACTTCTTTTTCATATAAATAAAGTTGTAATTCTTTTTTCGGAAAATCTTTATTAAATGGATCAAGCTTTATGAAAACTTACTTTCGTCTTGAGCAACGGCGAATTTAGCTGACAAGACCAACATCATGAGGGTGCCAAAAAATAGTTTAGAAGGCTTAATATTCCCATAAGAATTAATGTTGAGGATCATAATTATATTTTATAGATAAAAAATGACTAAAAGAAAAAAAAATTATTTTTTTTTTTAATAAAAAATGAGAAATATGCGAGAATTTTTTTCTTAATTATAAGAATAAAGTAACATAAAAAGCTTAAATATGTTCTTTTTGTGGAGGGTAGGTGGGGAAAGGTCAAAGTAGACAGAGAAATTTTTCTTTAAAAATTGGACCGTTTTTGTACCGCTTCTGAAAGATCAAAATTCATAAAAAGTACAAATAAGTTAACCTATGAGGTACCTTTTTTTTATATATGTAATGCAATTTAAAAAATTTCTCCAATCAAAAGATAACCGATAAGGTCGCTGGAGATCTAACTATTGAGGTACTTGTGGAGTTTAAAATGAGAATGTAACACTACTTAATCGCGATTTCTTTAAATCTTTTTTTTGTTTTCTAAAAAATCATTCCTTTGAGATCGGATAAATTTTCTTTTCATTCTTTTCTTTGGATAATGTATATGTGAGTGTTTGAGTTCACTTACTTCAATCGATTTATAATTTATTGATGAGAAAATCAAGTTGATATGATATAAAGTATGGTATTGAAAAAAAATATATTTTAGATTTCGATCAACTTGTTTTTGATTAAAATTAGTAATTTGTGTACTATTTGTTCCTTACCGGTACATTTCCGAAACTCCTTATTTCCTTTCCTATTTAGGGACGACCTTAGCGGTAATAATGATATCAATTAATGAGCGGAATAACGATTAAAATATTAAAAATACTTACGTAACAATTTTAGGATTATCCTTGAATATATCTGAAAAAAGGTGTGCGAATAGATTATAAATATGTGAGGTCATGCAGGTATTATTATTATATGGTATAATAAACATTCATCAACTAGATAATCAAGTAAACAACTTCGATCTTTTTATTGCAAAAATAAATTCAATTTTCTCTAACATAATTTCAAAAAATAAGACCCCTGAAATTCGAAAGTTGTTTACAATTACAACTTCTTACACAATTTAAAAAAAAAAAAAAAAAATCCAGGACGACAATTTTTTTCTCACAATAAGAAACAACTTTGTTAAATTTTTAATTAATCAATATAAAAATAAGATCATTAGATACTATAACATTTGATAGTATGACCAAAATAGTTAAGATCAGTTATTAATTCGAATTGTGATGACTTGTTTCTTAACCACCCTCGCTTAATAACAGACATCTTTAATCTATTCTTTATTTTAATATTTACCAATTTTATTAATCACCTCTCGCATTACTTTATTTTCACATAATTCATTATGAATATAAAAGAATTCTTTTGGTTTTAATTGTTTACCCTTTCTCGTCATGGCTTTTAATTCATTTTCATATAATTTATTTACTTTCCATGTAGTAAAAAATCTAAAAGAAGGTTCAAGTGACTTCACAGGTAAAGTTGTAAAGTTTGATCTACAAAACAAAGTGAGAGTTTCAATTGTTATAAAAGTTTCGGGCGTGATTTGTGATGAAGAAATTTCGGATGTTGAGGGATTTGTTAAGGTTGATGGTTTGTAATAAATGTTTCTAACATATGGAGAAAGACACAAATGAATTAATCCTGTTGAAATCGCGCTCGTTGATAACGCTTTTTTAAAATAATTTGTAAATGGTTAAAATATTTGTTTAAATATATAAAAATAAAGAATTTTAATGAAATCATACTTGTTACAAGCAAAAATGCTCTAGCTCCTAATCCCATAGGTGCGTCAACAATCATAATAATTGGACTTATCATAATTGTAATAATTAAAGAAGCCACAGAAAAAACCTTTAATTTTTTGGCTGTACCAGATAATGGACCAGAATAAACTTTATTATTTTCGTTTATAACATTATTTTTTGTTAAAGTGGTTGAAAATTGCTTCGAGTAATTTGGTTTTCGTAAGAAAATAATTCTATTTGTATTTGAGAGATATTTCGTTTGAGAAATACGAAATATTAAGGAGGGATAAGTTCGAATACAGTATTTGAACATTTTTTTCTTTGGAGGAAAAAAAAAAATTTTTTTTTTATAATTTTTTTAAAATATGCAAATTATAGTGGCGATCATTAATTTCAGCCTGAATTAAAAAAAACTGTTTTAGCTTAAAAGCTGTTTTATAGTAAAAATTAAATTGAATTAATTATATTATATATTTCATTTTAAAATTTTGTTAAAGGCATTTTTTTATTTATATAGAGAAAAACATAATAAAACATAAAGTTTATTAAAAATAAAAAATATAAATAAATGTATTATAAAATTTTTCTTATGATTTAATTTATATAATAAAAGATTACATACTAATTATTAATAAATAAAATTTTATATTCTTTTAAAAAAAAATATATAAATATATTTAAATTGTATATTATTTATATCAATGCTTTTTTTTAAAGCTATCATTACTATATTTATTATATACAAATATTTATCCCTTAGATTGTAGGATTTCGCAGGCAAATTTGTCTACTTATTTACTATAAATTCTTTTCTGATTTACTTTTATAAATAATTAATATTTTTAAAAAATTTTTTTTTTAAATTAATTATATAAA